GTGAGGAGGGAGAGCGGAGAACCAGTGTCCACAGATAGTGAGGAGGGAGAGCGGAGAACCAGAAATGGGCCTGGTGTATCTTACTCGGGGGCTCATCGACGGAGCCGGGATAAAAGTGAGGATCTGTTGTGGTGGGAGTCCTGGACAGGGAATGCGTCTGATGAGTCCATGATCCTCAGGAGGAGAATCCAACAGGATAGGGAGTGCCCACTGTGGTCGTTCCTGGGAGAAGGCCCAGTCCCTTAGCGCACCAAGGCCCGAGCCCAGGGCAGTGGGCAGTGTGGACCACACCTGGTAAATGATCCCGCGCGGCTGAGGTCAGGTGTGCCCAGGACAGAGACATGAACATCCCCTGAGGGCCTGGGCCTGGACTTGTAGCTGGGAGCTGCCTCCTTGTACTGAGACTCGACAGTGCATTGCTGCGTGCCCAGTGCTCCCCTGTGGCTCTGAGGCAGGACGCAGCACCTGGGGCTCTCAGTTTGGGTGAAACGAGACCCTCCTTGGGAGCTGTGAACCTCCTGGGGCCTTTCTGGAGCCCCAAGTGTTGCACGTGTGCTGGAGCCAGGCAGCGCTGAGGGCCAGGAAGAGGCTCGTGTCTCCGCGGTCCACCAGCTGCAGACACGCACGGCCTTCGCCGCCTCTTCTGCGGGCCTCCGTCAGGCCAGCGTCTGGCCCTGCTGGAGGAAGCGTCCATGACGGGGTCCTGCCCTCCCCCTGGTCGTCTGTGTGTGTCTGGGGTTCATCCTCCTGAGGGCCACACGCTCCAAGTTCTGCTGTGGCGCTGTTGAGCAGGAAGAGACTGGGACCTGGTCTATTTTGTAGTCTCAGTTCTGTGGCATGGGAAGGCCTTGTAACTTAAGGAACACAGTGATACCCCGTCCAGGCGGGGAGGTGCTGCCCGAGGCGGCCGGCGTGTCGGTGGGGGCTGCCCTGAGCTCTGTGCCCTGTTCAGCGGTGTGACCGTGAACTCCTTTGGCAACGAGGGGAGGACAGGACCCGGTGCACCGTATGTCATGGTTCATAAAATCTGGGACACCACCAGTGGTAGACACACACCATTGTTTTACGACCCTCAGCAAAAGGAAACAGTGGCTGCCAATTAAACTCTGACATGCCGTTGACTGTAAGAGCCGTTGCAATTTCAGAAATGGTAAAAGGAGAAAAAGCATGCCCTAGAATTGACGTAATTGGGAAGCAGCGGGACTACCATTTACTGAACGCAGTGGTGAGAGCTGGGCTGCTAACCAAAGGGTTGGTGGTTCAAATCCCTCAGCCGCTTTTTGGAAACCCTGTGGGGCAGTTCTACTTGTCCTGTAGGGTTGCTATGAGTCGGAAGCCACTCAACGGGCAATGGGTTTGGTTTTTTGTTTTGTTTTTTTTTTAGCAAGTGCTGGCACCATTCCGGCACTTCTCCCCATGCTGTCATCAAGCTGGATCCCAGCCACAGTCACAACCAAAGCCGTAAGATGTCTAGAAGTAACCCTGAGAAACGCCACATGAAAAGAGAATGATAGCCCTGAGTTGAAGGACGTAAGAGAAGCCTTAGATACATAGAAAACACAGCACGTTCTTGGATGAAAGACTGAGCTGGCAACATCACAAACCAGTCCAGAGCAAGGTTGCAAGATCACCATCCCAGGTGCCAAACATGCCATAAGTGACAATAAGGGAAGCCACATGCTCTGGGGCAGTGATCAGGAATTACGTGAGCTCACCAGCAGGAAGAGTTGAGAAACAGACCTGCATACATGTGGGAATTTAGTCCAGGATAAGTGTGGCATTTCAAATTATTGGGAAATGGGTGGGTTATTCCATAAGTGAACTAGATTAACTGAAGAGCCATTTGGAAGAAGTAAAGTCTGATCCCAAGCTTACACCATAAACAAAAAACTAAGTTCTAGGTAGACTGAAGATCTAAACATAAAAACACAATATAATAGAACTGGAAAAGAGTGATAGAATATTTTTACAATCTGGGCTTCTCTGTACATGACTAAAGGAAAACATTGATGGTGTGGCTACATGAAAATCAGGGCAATATATATCAAAATTATATAAATATCTGTTGTTAGCTACCGTGGAGTTGGCCCCAAACTCACAGTGACCCCGTGAACAACAGAACAAACTGCTACCCAGCTCTGTGCCGTCCACATGATGGTTACACATCAGATTGCTGGCATTCATAGGGTTTTCACTGGCCGATTTTCAAAAGCAGATCTCCAGGCCTTTCTTCCTAGTCCATCTTAGTCTGGAAGTTCCTCTGAAACCTGTTCAGCATCAAGTCAACACGCAGACCTTCACTGACAGATGGGTGGTGGCTGCACATGAGGTGCATTAGCCAGGAATTGAACCTGAGTCTTCGGCCTGGAAGGCGAAAGCTCTACCACTGACACACGACTGCCTTCTTACATGTATGAGATCTCCATAATTAACATAATTCTGGTGAAACAGGATAAAACAGGAAACTGACAGAAGACAACAAACTCGAGAAGACTCTCTGGTTCAGGGGTGACGAAGGAGTGCCAGAGGAGAGAACAGAGATGGTTCTTTGCCCCGAGCAGCTTAGCAGCACGCGGCGGGCAGGACCCAGGCAGGATGCACTTGCAGCTCTCTGAAGGCTCTGGATACCTGTTAGAGGGACGAGCGGTGGCAGAGCCCCAGAGAGAAGTACCACCTCAAACTGAAGGTCATCGTGAGTCTTTGCCACGGAAGGAGCCCCGTGGTGCTGTGTTCAGTGGACAAAAGTGCTTTCCCAGAGAGGGCGGTGCTGCGTTCCCACCGTAAATTCTACAAGAATTGCCGTGGATCCAGAAAGAGGCCTGAGAAGAGAACGTCGGATGTCACAGTGCTCGCTGGGGAAGTGCATTTGAGAGAAGGAGCACCCACTTTTTCATCTGTCCACTTCTTTATTATTAGAATTTTCATAACCAGTTATGCATTTTGTGATTTAAGTGACTTTTGAGACCGTTTCCCTTTCTGTCTGAAATGAGCCAAGTCCTCTCTGCTGGAGAAGGAAGTCCTTTCCCATTCTCTGTCGGGCAGAGACCGGAGTGGGGACTGCAGACCCCAGCCCCCCACCGCCTGCTCCCTGCACCCTTCCCCTGCACGGCCCCCTCCCCCATGCACCCGTCCCCTGCATGGCCCTCTCCCCCATGCACCCCTTCCCCTGCATGGCCCCCTCCCCCATGCACCCCTTCCCCTGCATGGCCCCCTCCCCCATGCACCCCTTCCCCTGCACGGCCCCCTCCCCATGGCCCCCGTCCCCTGCATGGCCCCCTCCCCTACGTACCTCCTCCGCTGCACGGCCCCCTTCCCCATGCACCCCGTCTGCTGCATGGCTCCCCCACCCCCAGCCTCCCGTTCTAGCTGTCTCCCCTCCCTGTACAGGGCACCCGAGCTCATGTCCTGTCTTCTGGTCCTTCCTCCCCTGAGGGCCTCCTATTATGACCTGGGTTTGACTCAGGGCCCCTCAGGCGCCGCCGTCTTGGGGAGAAGTGACCAGCAGCTCCTTCCAGGTCACCCTGGGTTCCTTTAGGCTGGAAACCATTGGGGCGCTTTGCTGAGCACGAGCACGCGGACCACACGCATGTACACGTAGACACCACGCCCACAGTCTCCATGCACAGGTACACACCACACACATGCACACACGCTATACATGCACACACACGTGTGCACTTCACACGCCTGAGCGATAGCCGTGGGGTCTGCAGAGGCCCAGCCCTGCTGACACAGGGGCCACTGAGGGACTAGAAGGGGCGGTCAGGCTAGATTCCTGGCCTCTGGGCACCTGGCGGCGGAGAGCCATGGGCCTCTGCCCAGGGGATGTATCTGCAGCCTGGCGGTGGCGCCTGGGGGTGGGGGGCGGGGGCCTCTGCCTGGGGGCCGTGTGTGCAGCCTGGCCGTGGTGCCGGCTCATCGCGGCCATCTGTTCTCTTTACTGAGCGCCTCTGTGGGTTCCGGTCCACTGACTCTGTCCACTTCCTTCCCCGTCTGCGCTGGACGCGGCCCAGGGGAGTTCTCAGGTGTGTATCTCCTGCCCGTCCTTCCCTCTCGTGGCCTAGGGTGGGGGGGGGTCACACATGGGACACTCCTCTGCTAGTATCCAGTCCCCGCTGGCTGCACGGCCCGGCCGCTCCCGACTCTGTCCAGCTGCCTGGCGGCCTGCCCCAGCTCCTGCACTGCAAGCTCGTGCCAGCCTGCTCCCCCTGTCCCTGGGGGCCTCCCCGTCTGGGGGCCGCTTGCTGCTAGCCCTCTCCTCCAAGCCCAGGAGGCCCCAGGGGCCATTCCCTAAGGTCCTCTCAGCCACAGAGCGTGCAGCCAGCCGACTGGACGGTGGCAGGAGGCCCCCTCTGCCTGCTCCGGGGAGCCCCAGGAGTCAGGGGGCTTCCTACCCCACACAGGACACCTCTCTGCAGTGAGCAGACATATGGGGCCTGGTCCCTCTTTCCTGCCCAGCCTCACCCCCGTGTTGGCGGCAGCCCCTTCCCTCAGCCTCCCACCGTCCCAGCTCTGGAAGGAGGTGTCCACTGCCCCAGCTTCTCCTCGGCAGGCACACACCATGCCCCCTGCCTCGTCCTCGTCCTCATCCGGGGTGCAGCCCCAAAGATAAACTCGTGGGCTCTTCCGGAAGGAGTGGCCGGCCCCGTCCTGTCCTGTCTCCTGTGCCCACCCCTAACCCAGCACACCTCCCCCCGAAAGACCACCCCCTGCTGTTGACCACCAGCTTAACGCGCCTGTCTTCTCTCCCTCCCTCTCTCCCTCCGCCCCGCCCTGCTTGCCGTCTCCCGTGGGATTGGGACGGCTCCCGTAGTGCGCGATGATTTTTTTGGTAAGGCCAAGGCCGCGTTTCCGTGTGCTCCCCCATCCCGTCATGCTTCACGTGCCGTATGCTCTGTTCTGCATGTGGCGGCGGGGTCAGCAGGCTCTCCGGGGATGGGCACACGGGTGTCTGCTTGGCAGCCGCCTCTATTCTCCATCAGGGCCCCTCACAACTGCCGGGCCTGCGGGACCTGGGGGCCAAGGTGCTTCCTGGGGCAGGAGGCAGCCCTCCAGCCCTTCCGAGGCTCTTAGAGCTCAGTGCAGGCTACCCCCGGTCCCCGCAGCCCGCCTGGGCGAGCGCGGCACTGCTGGGGCTCGGGTGGGGGGCAGGACCACGCTGGAGCCAGGCAGGGCCCTGAAACCAAGCCCGAGGTGTAGGGGGGGCAGGTGTGTGGGTGTGTGCGTGTGCACGTGTGTGGGGGTGGGGGTGTGTGCACGTGTGTGGGGGTGTGCACGTGTGTGGGTGTATGTGCACCTGTGTGGGTGCGTGTGCACGTGTGTGGGTGTGGGTGCGTGTGCACGTGTGTGTGCGCACGTGTGTGGGTGCGTGTGCACCTGTGTGGGTGTGGGTACACGTGTGTGGGTGCGTGTGCACCTGTGTGGGTGTGTGTGCATGTGTGGGTGTGGGTGCGTGTACACGTGTGCGGGTGTGGGTACACGTGTGGGTGTGGGTGCGTGTGCCTGTGGGGGGCAGGTGTGACTTTGTTCTGCGGTGGCATTGGAAGTGAAGAGTCGAATGACTAGAGGCACAGACGTGGGCTCTCAGGCTGACTGGTCTGGGGCTTGGGGGGAGGAGGGCACCAGGTCCAGCCCTTTGGGCTGTGTGCCTCCTGCTGTGACCTCCACCTGCAGTCCCTCTGTGGTGGCCCCAGGGGGCGCCATCCTCCTTGCTCCCACCCCACCTCCTGCTGACCCTGTGCCCCACAGGGATGTAGGGAGCCCTGGGCCACCCCATCTCCTGGGTGGGGTTTTCTCTGAGTTCTGTGCTGTGCCTGTCTCCTGTCACCACACTTCTGAAGGGGGCTCTGAAAGTGTCCCCCTCATGATGGCCTTGGTGACCACAGAGCTGGGGGGTGACGTTTAGGGGGGCCACCTCAGGGCCACCGGTGCACTGACATCTGGCAATAGAGAGAGAGCTGCAAGAACCACCCCAAGGTGCCTCCTTGGCCAGGAGTGACCCCTGGGCTGCTGTACCTTCTGTCAGCGGGGACCCTGCTCAGAGCTCCCCGGGGTCCTTCCAGTGGGTGGAAGGTGCTGGTGGCAAGGCCACAAGGAGCTGGGGGCGCCTCTCCCTACTCTGCACGCCCCTTCCTAAGGCCCTGCCTGACTGCAGATGGGACCCAGCCTGTCTGCTCCTCCCATCCCCCAGGCAGTAGACACCAAAATGGCTGTCAGAGGGGCTGCTTCAGGGCAGGGTCTATCTGTGCACGGCTCGGGCAAACCCACCCCTTCTGTTTTCAGGAATGGGCAAGGAGGTGGGCAACTTGCTGCTGGAGAACTCACAGCTGCTGGAGACCAAGTAAGGGTCCCTCTGCGCGCCCCATCACTGTGTGCCCCACTGCTGACCTGCCTTCCTGGGGGTGGGCAACTTCCGGCCGCGAGCCTCAGATCTGTGTGCTCCTGGGGTGGAAAGTTCTTGGGAGCAGGATTCTTGAGCGTTTTCCTTAGGAAGATTACCTTCAGGAGCCTTCAGCTGGGGCGGCTGGAGAGCTTGGCATCCCGTCAAGATGCTCGTGAGAAAGGAGTTCTTATCACTGGTGTTGGGCACGGGCGTAAACCAAAACCATCCTGAGGAGATCAGGACTCGGGGCCCCCGTTTTTCCCCAGGATGGGGTCCTCTACCTGGGCCGTGGCTTCACAGAAGCCCAGTGGGGTGACCCTTCTGAAGGCCCCCTCATGTCAAGTGTCCTGCTTTTCAAAGGAACGCTCTGAACGTGGTGAAGAACGACCTGATCGCCAAGGTCGACCAGCTGTCGGGGGAGCAGGAGGTGCTGAGAGGGGAGCTGGAGGCTGCCAAGCAGGCCAAGACCAAGCTGGAGACCCGGATCAAGGAGTTGGAGGAGGAGCTGCGGAGGTCAGCCCCCCACTCCCTTCTCCCCAGTCCCCTCTAAAGCGCCTCAGAACGGCCCCTGTCCTCGCTTCAGTTCCGGCTTCTGTTGACCCCAGACGCTCAGCTGCTGTTCTGAGCCCTTTCGCACCCCCTCACCCACCCCCTCACCCACCCCCTCACCCCCACTCCCACATCTCCCTCGGGGCCCACTGCAAAGGGCACCTCGATTCTCAGGGGTCCCAGTGCAGGGACATGGCTGCACTCAGGCTCTGGGGAGTCCCGTTTGGAGGGAGGGAGGGAGGAAGGTGGGGGGCCTCCCTCCCAGGATCTGGTCAGCCCAGGCTTCCTCCCGGGTGCAGGCCCTGTTCTTCCCGCCTGGCCCGCTTCCTTCGCAGGGAAGGGTCCTGCGTTTGTGTCTGTGGGAACCAGCCCCACCTGGAGACAGGCCTCAGACAGCCTCCTCCCATGTCTGACCACCTAGTTCAAGCCACGGGACCCACGCCTGGGCTTCAGGGGATGAGGGGGCGGGGGGGGCCAGCCCTCACCCCCTGTGGCCCCTGCTCGTCTGCAGAGTGAAGTCTGAGGCCATCACTGCCCGGCGTGAGCCCCGGGAGGAGGTGGAGGATGCAAGCAGCTGTCTCTGTACAGAACTGGTACATCCCACCATTCCCCTGCGGGATGGGTGGGGGCTCAGGACCTTTGTTCTCCTGTGCCTCTGGGCCCTCGGCACCCCTCCCACGCACTCTCCACACCCCCACCCCGTGGCCCTTGGGGACTCCTGCTCACCCAGTGACCTGTGGTCTTGGGTTTGGGAAAGTTCTTAGCACACTTTCTCCCCAAAGACGAGGCTGGGCCCCCACGGCCACCAGGTCCTAGTGGTCACAGCTGTGTCTCCAGGTTCACCCGCCCACTCCCCTGACACCCCAACTTGCTGTCACCACTGTCCTGGACCGTTCTGGGGAAAGCCCATGCCCACAGCACAGCGCCCCCCTCCCTTGGGGTCTGTAGCTTGAGTGGCCTCATCGCAGGAGGACCTGCAGCCTCCCCTCCAGACCCCGAGCCAGGGCAGGGGAGGCACAGCTGAAGGCCACTCACCCCCGAAGGCTCTGCTGCCTGGGGTGGAGAGGAGGCTGGGGCAGGCATCTGCCTGGGCATTGTAGCCGGGCGCATAGAAGCACCCAGAAAAGGGGACCCCCCCCCCCCAGACAGACATCCAGGAGAGGAAGCAGGCTGGGAGGTGGGCTGGAGTTCACCTCGGCCCCAGCCCCTGTAGAGCGCAAAGGCCTGGCATTCAGGCCTCAGCCTCCCCTCCTCAGGCTCAGGGCGTAGAGCTTGCTGACGGTGGACCCAGGCCATGGGGGACCTCCGCCCCTGCTCACTGAGCCCTCCCTAGAACTTCTCCCTGTCCCCTGGAGCCAGGCTCCCTTGTCAGCCTTCACCAAAGGCCTTTCAGTGTCCAGGGACGTGTAGGAAACCTCCCCCCGCCCCATAGTGGGAAAGCTGCACTTGGGTTTGCCCCGGCCTGCAGTGGGCGTGGGCTGCAAGCTGGCTCCCCGGCACCCCTCACCGCCACCCTGCCTCCCACCTCCTCCCCACGCAGGACAACATCCCCATGGCCCAGCGGCGCCGCTTCACACGTGTGGAGATGGCACGCGTGCTCATGGAGCGGAACCAGTACAAGGAGCGTCTGATGGAGCTTCAGGAGGCCGTGCGGTGGACAGAGATGATCAGGTGACAGAAGGAGCACCCTGGGCCAGCCTCCTGGCCATGCCCGCCGGCCAGAGCGGGGCTTCCCCAGAAGGAGGTGTCAGGTCACTCAGTTGCCATGGACCCTTCCAGGAAGTGCCGGTGACCCCCAGCCCGGAGCCAGGGCCTGGGTCCCAGGCGGCACAAGAGCCAGCCAGGGGTGGGTGACATTGGGGTGGGCCGTGGCGAGCCAGCATCCCCCGTCTCCCCTCCCTGCAGAGCTTCCCGAGAGCATCCGTCCGTCCAGGAGAAGAAGAAGTCCACCATCTGGCAGTTGTGAGTGGCGGGACAGCAGGTGGCCAGGTGGGTGGGTGAGGGGGGGGCGCTGCACACCTGGGAGCCGGCCCTCACTCCCCGCGCCCCTCCCTCCACAGCTTCAGCAGGCTCTTCAGCTCCTCCTCCAGCCCCCCACCAGCCAAGCGCGCCTATCCCTCAGTGAACATCCACTACAAGTCACCCACCGCCGCCGGCTTCAGCCAGCGCCGCGGCCACACTGTCTGCCAGATGTCGGCCGGCAGCCGCCCGCTGGAGTTCTTCCCTGACGAGTGAGTGCCCCCCTGCCCTGCCCTGAGGACCCCGTGACCGGCTGCCTTGCCCCTCCCCACCAGGACCTGGGGCCCCGCTGCCTTGCCCGCCCTGACCCCCTCACCACTGTCCCTCAAGCACTCCAGTGACAAGAAATTCACCTGCAGGATAGGGTTTCTTACTGGGAAGTGCGTTTGTGTGGATTTTGGGTTTTCCTGGGTTTTGAAGCCAAGTTTTGGTGTCCGGGCTGCAGGGGACGCCTGTGCCTGGGGCAGAAGCCCTAGGCTGGCTTGGAGGGCGCTGCTAGTGGAGCCCTGGACGGGCCTTAGACCCAGCGCCACCCCTGTGCTGGGGAGCCACCTCCGGCTCCCGGCAAATGGGCACCTGGTGGGGCAGGATGGGCCTCAGCAGCTGAGGAAGGGCTGGGGAAGACCACCTCGTGGCGAGGGCGCAGGGTCCCCGTACCGCGCCTGAGACCACCCTGTCCCCTGCTCAGCGACTGCACGTCGTCGGCACGGCGGGAGCAGAAGCGTGAGCAGTACCGCCAGGTGCGCGAGCACGTGCGCAATGACGACGGGCGGCTGCAGGCCTGCGGCTGGAGTCTGCCGGCCAAGTACAAGCAGGTGAGGGTGGGGCGGGGCTGGGGTCTGCCCAGCAGTACATGCGGGTGCGGGCGGGGCGGGGCCGGGACCTACGGCTGGAGCTTGTAGGCCAAGTTGTAGCAGGTGAGGCGAACGGGGCAGGGCGGCGCAGCTCCGCCGCTCTTTCTGCCCTGGGACCCTCTGGGCCCAAGCCCTCAGCTTGGTGCCCACAGCGCCGCTGACTTGTCCTTGCAGCTGAGCCCCAACGGGGGCCAGGAGGACACGCGCATGAAGAACGTGCCGGTGCCTGTGTACTGCCGCCCCTTGGTGGAGAAGGACCCCACCATGAAGGTGAACCCAGGGGGGCCAACCTTTGGGGCGGGCTGGGAGGGGATGGCCGCTGAGGGCCTTGGGCCCTGCCGCGGGCACTGCAGACTCAGGAGGCGGGTCTGCGTCGCATCCTGCAGTGTCAGGCCACCATCACACAGCTTAACCCGAGTCCCTGTAGCTGAGAGCGTGTCCCAAGCAGTGGAGGTGTGATTCGTGCCGGGCGCCTGGGGCTGGTGTGCTGGCGCCACCCCAGGCCCGGCTGGAGCTAAGCCCCTGTCCTCGCAGCTGTGGTGTGCTGCGGGCGTCAATCTGTGCGGGTGGAGGCCGAGTGACGAGGACCCTGGGAACGGGACCAAGCCAGTGCCTGGTCGCGACCCCCTGACCTGCGACCGGGAGGCAGAAGGGGAAGTGTCCAGCAGCCACTCGTCCCCGGAGAAGAAGAAGGTCAGAGTAGCCACAGGCTGGGGTCTGCCATGGCTGGCGTCCTCACTGCTGTCACCCAGGGCCCAGGCCAGGCTCACCAGGAGTGGCCAGACCAAGGGCAGCTGGCGACAGGCGACAGCAGTGGGCAGGTCGGCTGAGCTGCCTGCTTAGGAGTCTGGTGGGGGTATCTCGCCCGTGAACGGTGGCTGGGAGTCCGGGAGGGCTGAGGGCGGCTGGGCACACAGCCCTCCCTTCCCGCCCAGCAGAGGAGCAGCGGGGAGGGGCTGGGCAGGAGTGCGCAGAGAACTCAGGGGGGTTGGGGTCAGAGGCTTCAGTTTGTGTTCCAGCCTGACATGGGGCAAGGAGGGAGCCCGCATGTGGAAAGAGCTGCGTGTGACGCGTGTTCTGAGTCTTCACCGTCCCAGCTAGCTGTGTCCCCTGGGCCGGGGTCAGGGCTGCACACCACGGGTCCCACACTGCACCCCTCATCCCCACAGGCAAAGGAGCTGCACGAGATGGACGCCACCTCCAGCCGGGTCTGGATACTCACCAGCACACTGACCACTAGCAAGGTGGTGATCATCGATGCCAACCAGCCAGGCACCGTGGTGGACCAGTTTACCGTCTGCAATGCCCACGTCCTGTGTATCTCCAGCATCCCCGGTGAGCCTTGACCTGGCTCCAGGGGCTGCAGTGCCGGGCAAGGGCGTGAGGAGCTCAGGGGCCGCAGCTAGGGCACGGAACAGAGGCCAGACCATGACGTCCTGTGGACTGGAACAGACAGTGGGGGGAGGTGGCTGTCCCGAATCGAGCAGACCCTGCCCGTGTCCCTACGGACAGTCGGGAGAAGACCCCCCACTTGCCCCCCGCCATGAGACAGTCACTGGTGAGGCCACAGGCAGGGGTGCCAACTGCCCCCAGCAGATGGGAACAGCCAGTCCAGGCAGAAAGTGGCCTCTGTCCGAGTGGGACCACGGGTTGGACCTGGAAGGACAGCTCGTCGGCGGGAGGTGACGGCGTGGTCTCCCCCTCCCAGCGGCCAGTGACAACGACTACCCGCCAGGGGAGATCTTCCTGGACAGCGACATGAACCCCGAGGAGCCTGGCGCCGACGGGGTGCTGGCCGGCATCACGCTGGTGGGCTGTGCCACTCGCTGCAACGTCCCCCGCAGCAACTGCTCCTCCCGGGGGGACACCCCGGTGCTGGACAAGGGGCAGGGTGAGTCTGGGGCCCCCGCACCACCACCCCGGCCTGGTACAGGTCCACCCTCCCTTCCACAGGGGAGGTGGCTGCCATTGGCAACGGGCAGGTCAACCTTCCACAGGGGAGGTGGCTGCCATCGGCAACGGGCAGGTCAACCTTCCGCAGGGGAGGTGGCTGCCGTCGGCAACGGGCAGGTCAACCCAGCTCAATCCACGGAGGAGGCCACGGAAGCCACGGAGGCACCCGAGCCTGGGCCCAGCGAGCCCGAGGCAGCTGCAGTGCGGACTGGACCCCTCACAGAACACGTCTTTACCGACCCAGCCCCCGTGCCGCCCCCCAGTACTCGGCCTGGCAGGTGGGCTGTCCGAGGTGGAGGGAGGAGAGGGGACATGCGGCTCCCCATGGTGGTCTGTACTTCGAGATGGGCAGAGCTGTGTCCCCACGGAGCTGGGTCTCGAGGACTCCAAGTAGAGCAGACCCCTCCCAAGGCTAGCTCTGCCCGGTGGGCGGGAATATGAGGAAGCGGGCCTCTGGGCCACCCTGGAGCCGGGTCCTTCTTGCAGTGAGAATGGGCCCGAGGCCGAGGCCAGCGGCACACAGCCAGAGCCGGAGCCCAGCGCAGGCCACACCGGGGCCAGCAGCAGCGCCGCGCCCACCATGTGGCTGGGAGCCCAGAACGGCTGGTAGGGACATATTGTGGGGCCTGCTGGGCGCAGCCGGGGAGCAACACAGGCCAGCCCTCACTGGCCTCTTCTTCCGTGTCCAGGCTGTACGTGCACTCGGCGGTGGCCAACTGGAAGAAGTGCCTGCACTCCATCAAGCTGAAGGACTCCGTCCTGAGCCTGGTGTATATGTCTGGGCCGCAGGGCCGGTGGGAGGAGCCCCGGGTGGGTGGGAGGAGCCCCGGGTGGGTGGGAGGAGCCCCGGGTGGGTGGGAGGAGCCCCGGGTGGGTGGGAGGAGCCCCGGGTGGGTGGGTGGAGCCCCAGGCAGCCACTCGGATCCTGCCTGCCTAAGCCTGGCTCTCCCATTTCAGGCATGTGAAAGGTCGTGTACTGGTGGCCCTGGCTGATGGGACTCTGGCCATCTTCCACCGGGGCGAAGGTGAGGCCTGGGGGTGGCAGGTGGGCTCCCTGGGCCCTAGGCCTGCAGCGGGTGTCCTCACCTCTGCCCTGGGAGCCAGGCCTGAACAGTGTGTCCCGGGCCCCACAGACGGTCAGTGGGATCTGAGCAACTACCATCTGATGGACCTGGGCCACCCGCACCACTCCATCCGCTGCATGGCCGTCGTGTATGACCGCGTCTGGTGCGGCTACAAGAACAAGGTGCACGTCATCCAGCCCAAGACCATGCAGATCGAGGTGAGTGGCAAGCAGGGGCAGAGGAGGGGTGGCGGGGCTGGGCTGTGGGGGCCACAGAGGGGAAGGTGCTCGGAGAGGAAGGAGCTCTGGTGACGCCCCTCCCTGTACACTTGGCAGCTTTGTGGGTGGAGCAAGGACCTGGGCTCTGAGGCGGTAGCGTAGGTCAGGGAAGTGCATGCCGGCCACGTCTGATGCCACCTGGGCTTCCAGAGCCAGCGCTCCTGCTGCCCACCTTAAGCCTAGGCTGAGTTAGCCTTGCAGATACCCTGCTGATGGCTGCAATACCCCACAGAAGTCATTCGACGCCCACCCACGGAGGGAGAGCCAGGTGCGGCAGCTGGCGTGGATCGGTGACGGGGTGTGGGTGTCCATCCGCCTGGACTCCACCCTGCGGTTGTACCATGCCCACACCCACCAGCACCTGCAGGATGTGGACATCGAGCCCTATGTCAGCAAGATGCTGGGTAAGGGTTGCTTGGCAGGGTGCAGGGGGACCCACCCATTGACCCCCCGGGATAGCGGCGAGTGCAGGGGGACCTACCCTCTGGCCCACAGGGTGGGGTCGGGGGAGCGCGGGGGACCCACCTGCTGACCCCCAGGGTCGGGGGAGTGCGGGGGGACCTGCTGACCCCCTCACTGACCCCCAGGCACGGGCAAGCTGGGCTTCTCCTTCGTGCGCATCACCGCCCTGCTCGTCGCCGGCAGCCGCCTCTGGGTGGGCACTGGCAACGGCGTGGTCATCTCTATCCCGCTGACCGAGAGTGAGTGCCCCCTCCCCCCACCGTCCCCGGGACCCCTGGAAGGACACGGTGGGCTGCAGGCTGACGCATGGGTTCACTTCCCTTTGAGCCAGGGTTGGGTGGGCTCAGCCCCCTGCCCTCTGGTGACAACCCTTCCTCTCCCTCCCAGCCGTGGTCCTGCACCGAGGCCAGCTCCTGGGGCTCCGAGGTAAGTCCGGACGCTGCCCCTGTGCTGGAAGGAGGCCGCCCTATTGGCTATGGGAGGGGGCAGGCCCACCATGGTGCTCTCCCAACCCTGATCCTCCCAGCTGGCTGTCAGCTCCTGTGGGTCCCCCTGTCTGCAGCTAACAAGACATCCCCCACGTCTGGGGAGGGTGCCCGCCCGGGGGGCGTCATCCACGTGTATGGCGATGACAGCAGTGACAAGTCGGCCGGCAGCTTCATCCCCTACTGCTCCATGGCCCAGGCCCAGCTCTGCTTCCACGGGCACCGCGATGCTGTCAAGTTCTTCGTATCGGTGCCAGGTGAGGGGGTTGCCTGGCCCCACCTGCAGGGTGCGGTGGCCCTGTGGCGGTGTGGGGTGGCCCGGCCGCGCACGCTCTGAGGACCTTCAACTCCATGACAGGGAACGTGTTGGCCACCCTCAACGGCAGCGTGCTCGACAGCCCGTCCGAGGGCCCCGGGGCTCCTGCCGCCACCACAGACGCGGCCGAGGGCCAGAAGCTGAAGAACGTGCTGGTGCTGAGCGGGGGAGAAGGCTACATCGACTTCCGCATCGGTGAGCAGGCCAAGCGGAGCCGGACGGGGCTGGAGGGCCGCAGGCAGGGGCCGCTGCTCATGTGCCCTCTTCGCAGGCGATGGTGAGGATGACGAGACCGAGGAAGGCGGGGCGGATGTGAGCCAGGTGAAGCCCATGCTGTCCAAGGCCGAGCGCAGCCACATCATTGTGTGGCAGGTCTCCTACACCAGCGAGTGAGCCGCCACAGGCACCACCACGTGTACATACGACGCCCGCCCGCCCACCGCGGCCAGCCCACAGGCCACCGCGGCCACCCCCCAACCTCTCAACTGCAGCTTTCACCTTAGGTCTGGGCCCCTCGGCAGGCAGCATGGTGGCACAGGTTAGGCCAAGAAGGACTGGCCACAGGTGGCACCTTTGTCCAGGAGGGACCCCCTTTCCCAGCAGCTCCTGGCCAACACCAGCCTACGGTTCTCCAGCCCCAGGGCACCTCAGGGTTGGGGTTCCAGGGTGGGCCCGGCTGTGGGTAGTCCCTGTAGGTGGCCCCAGCTCACCTCCTGGGCCCCACTCCCCTCACCCCAGGGTATTTCCCAGGGCTGGCAACCCACTTGCCTTTGGACCCCCAGGGATGGGGGGTCCGACCCTATCTCCTGCAGCCGGGGGCGGGGGGCGATGCCGACTCACCCAGATCCTGGAGCTGCCCAAGGGAGCTGGGCCCTGACCATTGCCCAGGGAGGCAGGGCTCAGGCCACCTGGTGCCTAGACCCCCGGCTTGCCTTCCCTGGGGCTTCCCCACCCCCTCGGCCATCACCTTCCCCTTCCTGCTGCCTGAGATCAGCGGCTGGAGAGAACAAACCAGGCGCCCCTCCCTTGCCCTCAGCCCCTCTCGCCAGGGTCTCCCAGGCAGGAGTGCAGCCCCTTGTGGGCGCCGGGCCCTACAGTCCTGCCCCTCCCCGAGCCCTCAGGGTGGGATTTTCAAGGCTGCCAGGGCTGCCCAGCCTCAGGAAGAAGGGAGGACCAGCAGCTCCTCCTCTGGGGTCAGTGCAGGACTCAGGCCAGCCTCAGGGTGATGGGGACAACAGTGCGCTCCCAGGTTTGCCTTGCGGAGCCCAGCTCGACGCTTGACTAAGTGCCTAGGGCTGCTGTGTGGGCTGCTCTCCCTGAGGGCAGCTGGCAGAGGCTGTGGAGCAGAAGCTGAGAGCTCTAGGTGGGGGTGGGGGTGGGGGTGGGCTCAGCTCCAAGGGGCACCGCTCCAGACCACCCCCCACAGTGGACAGGCCTTGCTTGCTTCCCCCCAGGCCCCAGCCTTACTCTTGTCCCATATAAAGGCACTGAATTAGGGCAGCCTGCCCCGCTGCCCTCCCTCCCACCGAGAAGCACAGACCTTGGCAGCCCCCCTACCCCCCAGCTGGCCGCTGCAGCAGCCACAAGCCACTGCAGGCTTATCCCACCACCCACCATCTCTCCACTGTGACATATGTAAAATCCCTTGTCTGTCCCCAAAGGATCATAAAGTGACAGAGTGGGTGGTGCACCTAGAGAAGAGCCCTGCAGCGATTCTCCCCAGGCTTTGGCCCTGCAAGTGACCCCATGTACCAGTCCTGTATGTAATAAACGTCTTCACTCTGTCATTCTGTCCCTGTGCCAAGCCAGTGCAGCACGGGGCTATTTTCATTTTATTGTAAAAGATGAAATGGTTGGACCACGTCTGGTGCCCAGAAGCCTGGGCTACATTTTCAAGTGCGCTGTAAGCGAGTGGGGGGCTCTGACCCTTCTGAACAGCGCATGGGGCTGCGATGCCCCATCTCGGATGGGGCCTGGGTCAGGGCTTGGCGGGGCCTGCCCTGGGGAGACCCTGAGTGTACCTGGTCTCTCCCAAACAAGAGAATTAATGCACCAGCAGAGACGGGATGGGACCCAGCTGTCTGTGCCATGTTGCAATGTTCGCCGAGTGACATATTTCAGCCGCGCACAGGCCCTGGAGTGTCCACCTCGGCGGCGCCAGCCCGCCCTCGCAGCAGGCTACTCGTACAGCCAGTGCGCGGCGCTGTCCTCCCAGCACAGGAGCTCGTCGGCATGGAACCACAGGGCGATCTCGCGGCGCGCGCTCTCCACCGAGTCGCTGCCGTGAATCACGTTCCTGCGGGGAAGGCGCCGCGTCAGCGTGGGTCCTGCGGGGCTGGCTACTGGCAGGGCCTTGAGCAGGCTGTGGCGGGGGGTCGGGAAGGGGCTCAGGCCGCTCCCCGTGGACCTTACTTGCCGATCTCGATGCAGAAATCCCCGCGGATGGTGCCCGGGGAGGCGTCAGCTGGGTCGGTGGCCCCGATGAGCGCCCGCGAAGCGCGCACCACGTCCAGCCCCTGCCACACCTGCAGGGGGCGGGGGGTGTGGTCAGCGCGGGTCCGGGCCCCCGGGCGCCCCCCGCCCCGCCCGCACTCACCATGGCCACCACCGGCCCGGATCCCATGTAGCGCACCAGGCGGCCGTAGAAGGGCCGCGCGCGCAGCTCGGAATAGTGTTCGCGCAGTAGCTCCTCCGAAGCCTGTGGAAAACGAAGGGTCAGCCACCGCCCCGCCCCGGTCCCGCGGACGCGCCGGGCCAGCCCTCACCTGCACCAACTTCAGCGCCACCAGCTTGAAGCCCTTCCTCTCGAAGCGCCGCACGATCTCGCCCACCAGCCGCCGCTGCACGCCGTCCGGCTTCACGGCCACGAAGGTGCGCTCGTGCACGCCGGTGCACCCTGCGGACCGGTCGTCAGCCCGCGGGAACCCCGCTCGGCCCCGCACTCCCGCCCTGGGCCCGGTGCCCCCTCATCTGGCCCGGTACCTCCTCCCCTGGGCCCGGGACCCTCCACCCGGCCCCCCGGTGTCCCGGGCCAGCGCCGCTCACCCGCCGGGAAGAGGTTGGCGAAGATGCTCAGCACCAGGCAGATCATGATGGCGACGGTGGCCGAGAGGACCGAGCGCGGGTTCGGCGGGGGCGGGGCCCGGGCGGGGCGGGGCCTGGACTTAAAGGGACCGCGACCGCCATGCCGGGCGCTCCTCCCTTCGCGGACGCCGGCAGAGACGTAGAACGCTAAGTGAGGCCTGTGGAGCTTCAGACTCTGGGGCCGTCACGTCCTGCCCTGGACTCAAGCCACGGGCGGCCGGAGGATTCGGGCCTGCAGTGCACATCGCCTCCCCCAACAGCTCAGGTCTCCCCAGCCACCCCGCCGCACGGCTCTCGACCCTGGCCCCCCCGACCACCCACAACGGCTGTCCCACTGCACTGGGGGCCTTTTCTTCCCCGCAGTCCTGCAAACAACCCGCCTCTAGCCCCCAAATCCCAAACTCAGAGAAACCACAACGCACGCTACTTCAGTGGCCTTTATTCACGTCCAGAGCCTGGGGCTGGGCAGAGGCAACGTGGGAAGGAGGAGTGCGCGCTCTGGGTCTCGGCTGGTCACCAGGCACCTCCAGGGCCGCTAGCCCCCATGCTTCCAGTTTGCCCCAGCAGCCCCCTCTTGGCCTCAAACCTGAGTGTCCGGGAGGCCTGAACAGAGGAGTTGCCAGGTGCAGGATCCTGCCCACCCCACTCCCCAGGCAAAAAGCACATCCTCCGTAAGTAAAGCATCACGAGAAGGTCGCATGCAAGCTCGAGGGCCTGACAGGTGAACCCAGAGGCGTCTTCCTTCCTCACCGGGGCCTTGCAGCCCTGGGGCAGCCTGCCGGTTCCGGCACTTTCAGACTGGGGTGCCCTTGGCTTTGCCCTTCGCCTTCTTTTTTGCGGGGTAGTCCCAGGGGCTGATGCGCACCCTCTCCAGATTCAGCATGGGCTCCTCTGTGCTCTCATCCCCGCTCTTCTGCCGATCGGCCAGAATCATGGCCCTGAGGAGGGGCGGGTACGGCACGGAGCGCGGCGGGTCCTTGCTGGCTGGTGTGAAGGCAGTGAAGGCCGCCTCTTCGTGCCTGGGCACCAGCCGCCAGTCGTGGTACATGACCTGCTCGATCTCCCGGGCCTCACTCTCCGTCTGGCCTGCGGAAGAAGGACACGGCTCAACGCACCCCTTCTTAACCGTCAGCAGCCTGCGCCTTCTGCGCAGTCCCGCAAGCCTTACCTTTGAAGGTCAGAACGCCCCAGGCTTTTCCGTGGTCCAAGTTCTGCAAAGCAGGTAAAGGCGGGTCAGCTCAACAAGCTCGTCACCCACCTCCTCCTCAAAGGTTTAGGGGGTGCGTGTCCCGGAGTCGGATGGGGAGAGGAGGCAGCGCTGCCCCGCGGAGCTCGGCGCTCCGAAGGGGCCGGCCTGGCCCGGGCGTAAGGCGCGGACGCTGCGCACGCGTGGAGGGCTGGGGAGGAGGGCGCCCACGCACCTGTGCCGTGTAGTCGGGCCGCACCCGCGTGAGGCGCCAGTAGCACGGCTCGTCGTGCTGCCACAGCCAGGACTTGCGCGTGACCAGGCGGCCGATGCCGAAGAGCGGCAGCCGGCCGAGCAGCTGCAGGAGGCGGCTTTCGTGGCGCACGTCGGCCCAGGCCCGCGGGGGCAGCCGGCGGCCAGAGAGCGGCCGCGACAGCGTCTCGTAGTCCAGGGCGTAACGCTGTGAGTCGCGCGGCCGCTCCCGCTGCTCGCGCAGGGCCCGCACGCGCCGGGCCAGCTCGGCGATCAGCCGCGGCCGTACTTTCTTCCGCGCCATGGCCGGCCCGCACTGCCAGTCCGCGGCCTCAGC